TGCCCCCGTGCTGCTGAAGCGTCTGCGCGAGGCGAAGAAGGATGTGAAGGCGGGCGAGAAGCCAAGGGCCGTGAAGACGCACCTTCGCGATGTCGTCATCACACCCGAAATGGTGGGCTCTGTGGTCGGTATCTACAACGGCCGTCAGTTCAACGCGGTGGAGATTAAGGGTGAGATGATTGGACACTACCTTGGCGAGTTCTCCATGACGTACAAGCCCGTCATGCACGGCCGTCCCGGTGTTGGCGCCACGCACTCGTCTCGCTTCATCCCTCTCAAGTAGAGCGGAAGCGAAGGGAGGAGGAAAATTGGATGGGATGAGACTGCTTTCACTTTGTGCGTGTGCGGTTGATCAAGCTCCGTTCCCGTCAAGGCTTCTGTTTTTTCTTTTATTTCCGTTTTCTTTTCGTATTTTTTTTTTGCTCTAATACTAAGTGTTTCTCTGCTCTCCGTGGGCCTGGGCGGCGTGTTTTGTCTGCTTACACCGCCTCGCAGCTGCCCGTGCCCTTTTATTGGCTATCTTGCGCTTTCTCCCGTTGTTGGCGTATTGCGTTTTGTTTGCCTTCGTCTTTCTTTTGTTTTCTTTCTTTCTCTCGCAGGGTTTCTTGTTGTGTTCGTGCACAGAAGCCGGACTTTAGCTGTTGCTCTCAGAAGAAGAAGGGTACGGGCCAAAATTTGAGGAAGCTAGCGAAGTGAGTAGGAGGCAAGGAAAGGAAGGGGAATTTGACAAGGAAAAAAACGCAGCAAAGGAAAGTAGGCAGGAAGGGGCAAGGAGATAAGTGAGAATAGTTTTGTTTTTAGTTGTTTTTGTTCCACACCACTTTTTGGGGGTAGGTGGGCGTGTGTGGTGAAGGAAGGGCGGGACGAACCCCGTAGCAGCGGAGGCGCCTTTATTGCGATTGCCGTATTACTGTTTGCGGCGAGCCCCTCGTCAACTTGCTACATTCACGTTTTTTTTTTTTGGGGTTAATCTTGCTTGTGTTGCTCCCTTTCTTTTCTCCTCACTGGCCTTGTCGTTTCCTCGCACATATAATATATATATATATATATTGTCTCTGGCGCATCGCGATACTGCGCGTTTTCGGTTCTCTGCGTCCGTCGCTGTGGTGCGGCCAGTCGGAGGAAAGGGGGCGGAACAGCGAGAGGAAGAGCCGTCGGGGGAGAAGAAGGCCGGGGAAAGAGGTGGGGGCTCAAAACAGGAAGAAGCAGCTGTGGGTAGGACTAAACCTCCCTCGCTGCCTCTCTGTGGGTGTGTATCCCTCTCTTCCTAAGTGCCGGAGTCGGTGGGAAGGACGCGAAGTCTACCACAGCGGCTCTTGTGGTTGCCGTGAGCTTGAACAGACTTCGAGCCCCCCGTGAAGTATTCGGGTACGGCCTACACATACAACTAGGCGCATAGGGCTGTTGAAATAAAAGACGTCGCGCCACTTAAGCGCGCGTAGGCGTGGGAGACAATAGTACATATTGCCACCACAACAAATTAGCCCAACTGAGCCTGTTGTTGTCTTTTTGTTGTGCTTTGTTTTATTGGGGTTTATCCCTTTTTATTGCGGCGTACGCGTGTGATTGCTTGAGCCACTTCTAGCCATTCCCCCTCCCAGGAGAGGAGCGACGCGGGATAGCAGGCATACACGCTGCTGCCCCCGCTTATTCCGTCATTTTATTCTGTGGCGCGGCAGTGGCGGAGGCGCGGCTGTCTTTGCTCTACCACACGCGTAAAGCATTTCTTCCAAATATTGCCCCGCCAACCGTCGCACAACCTTTGTAAACTGCGGGTCCCAGGTTGCCTGATCGCATGCAACGCGAACGCTTTCGGCGACTGGGCATCCCTGCCATCGAAAACAAGCGTCGTTTTCCGCCCGCGGCGGAGCGTGTGGACGCTCAGCGAAGGGTTTCCTCTCGACGCTCGCAGGTTCAGGAGGCGGCGTCTGCCGCGAACAGGCGAGACACCGTGGACGCTGCCAGGGCGGCGCACGAAGGCGTGGACAGGCGCTCGACGTCGCGGGTGGAGTCAATAAAAAATGGTGGTGCCTTTCCCCACTTCAACGCCGCGGCGGGCTCCATCCACGAGGACGAGTGGCGGCCGCTGCCATTTGAGCGCTCCTGGGCCGTCTCCCTCGACAGCGCCCGCGGCAGCCTGGGGAGGGAGCAGCGCCCTCCAAGGGCCTCAGCGGCGTCGGAGTCCACCAAATTTTTCCACGTCGTGACCGACAAAATTGAGGGGCGGGCACTGGCAGGACACCACGCGGCGTTGTTGCACCGCTTGGGGGCCGAAGAAGAGCTGGAGTCCCTATCACGACAAGCCCTCTGCGTGACGGAGGCGGAGTCCTTTTCGCTGATAATAAACATGATGTTTCAAGACCGAATAGCGCGGGCAACCGAGTGCTACCGGCGCCAGCAGCAGGAGGAGGAGTGGTGGGAGGCTCTCCAGGATGCCCAGACGTGCATGACGAAGGAGGAGGAGCGACGCAATTTGATTGTCAGCAAAGAGCACCTCGACCGCCGCCGGCTGAACGCGCGCTTCCACGACTGGGACGAGGGAGACGTGGACGACGGCAACGGGGAGAGCGAGGTCGAGCGCACCAAAAACTGGTATTTGTCTGCCTTCCAGCTCGCCCTCCAGCAGAATGCACTAACCGAGGACGTCGCACGACAAAAGACGTACTTGGAATACAACAAACAGCGGGAGGAGCTCCGCTCGCAGTTTCAAAAAATCCTCACCACTCTCACAAACAACTCGCCGACAAGCAGAAACAACCTCAGCACGTTCTCGCACTTCATCCGCGAAAGCCAACAAAAAATTATCAGTGAATACGAGCAAGAAGCAGACAAGATAATGGATAACGAGATTTATGGTCTCATAGATATAATTCTCCGTCGCAGCACTGCCATAAGAGAGGCACACAACATCCATCCAGCCGTTCACGGAGATAATTTGCTGCCTAAGACCATTTTGGACGCAAAATCATCAAAGAAATCAACACATCCCAACACATTCCAACAGCAGCGCGCATCATTGACCACAACCGTCAAAACCGAATCTCAATCTACACCCATAGATGTAAGAGAAGCAATAGAACGAGAAGAGGAAGAGGCAAGGGACCGATTAAACGACAATGAAATCCTGCAACTCATAACTTTGATTCATAAAACACAAAAAACATTCTCGAACAAGCCGGCAATAAATACGGCGGACGTGGACGCCCTCGGAGAGGAGTACGCCAGCGCAACACTGGAGCGCTCAGTGGAGGCGCTTGCCGCGGAGGAAGAGAACGCCCTCGCTTCCCTCAAGAGCGAGGAGCGCGACGACAGGTTTGGCTTGCGCCGTGTGTGCCTCGCGGAGGAGGAGGCGACGCAGCGGCGCGGGCTGCAGCAGGGTGAGGCGGAGGCCGTGGACGCCCTCTGGCAGGAGTACGCCAGCGCAACACTGGAGCGCTCAGTGGAGGCGCTTGCCGCGGAGGAAGAGAACGTCCTCGCTTCCCTCAGGAGCGAGGAGCGCGACGACGAGGTTTGGCTTGCGCCGTGTGTGCCTGCGGAGGATGAGGCGACGCAG